CCGCCTCCTTAAAGGCCCGGCAGCCGGCGGGACGGGCGCAGTCAGCGCGGAGGCGCCCCTAAGGGGCGGTGGGCCGCGGAGCCATGGATTGCACGTTCGAAGGTATTTTTGGAGGACCCCCACCCCTACATTACAGAGCCTCCACCTCCGCGGCGGGGCCACTCGCCCCGGCCCATGGCGGGGGCGTGTGCCAGTGGCGGCTGCCAGCCCACAAATAGGAAGCAGCGGCTCCCGAGGGCGGCGTGCGGCCCCGGCTCCCGGAGGGGTGTGGGCCGCCCCTCAGCCCGTCACCCCGCCGGCGTCTGCAGTGAGAAGGCGGCTGTCCCCAGCCTCCGCTCCCCGCTTGGGGCGGGGGGAAGGCGTCTTTGTCGCCCGGGACGGACGGTGGGAGCCCTGGACTGTTTAAATCCCGGATCCCAGCCCTGGGTTCAGTCCGTTTTCTTTTGGGACTTCAGTTTCCCTATCTATCAGAGAGGCTCTGTGAGGACTGGGGTGAGGGATGGGAGATCCTGCAAGTGAAAGTACTTTATGACCCTCATAAACCTGGGGGCCCCACAAAATGTTTCTGTTTGAGGGCCCAGGAGGCTGAGCTGGCCACCCCCGTCTTGTTGGAGGCCATAGAGAGGTCCCCTCCTGCAGTAACTTTCCTGCCTGGGCACCTGTCAGTAGGAAGGAGCCGGGCAATGTTGAGTACCCACTCTGTGCCAGCTGCCTGCCTGCAAAGCCTCTTAGCCTTGCTGAAGGGTTTCATCTTTGTATGGATGAGGGGTGAGGCCCAGTGAGAGGAGGCTGTTGGCCCAGGCCCAGGCCCACCTCAAGTCAGTGTGGACAGGACAGAGAGCTCAGGCTAGGGATCTTGGGGGCTTTTGGGGCTCCCAGGGTTGTGCTCATGGGTCCTGCAGGGTACTTTTACCCAGTGCGTAGCTGCCCATAGTGGGTTAGAGGGTCCCAGGCTGACCCAGCCAGGCTGCTACTCACCAGCTGGGGGAGAGGGCCTGTGGCTAGAGCTATGTGGAGAGTGTGGCCTGCTCTACAAGAAGGAGTCAGGACAGACAGCATTTGCTTTTATCAAGGGGAAACCGAATCCCTGAATGACCATGTCTGAATGTGCTTGGGTACAGACAGTGTTTGGGCTGTGCCTAGAACATGCAGATATACTTGGCACACACATGCAGCTGACTCTGCTCCAAGCCTCGATCTGTTTCATGGAGTAATGGGTTGGTGATGGCAGTTCTGAAGTCTAGAGTCTTGTGCCCAAGCCTAGGCTTGGGGCAAGTTAATGGGCCCTGTGGGGCCTTGGCCATGCGTGGCACTGACCCATCCAGTTGTTGCAGGGTTTTCTGATAACGCGAAGCACCAGGCATTGCTTCCTGATGTCACAGGTGCCCAAGAAATGGCTGTGTGTCAGGGAGCACGGGCTATGTGGGTGGTATTGCTTGCACATGGACAAGGGGCATGCAAATGTGTGATGCCCTTTACAGGGCCAGCCCCTGCTCCACTGTTGCTCACACAGCCTTTTCTCCTTTCCCCAGACATGCTTCAGCTCATCAACAACCAAGACAGTGACTTTCCCGGCCTGTTTGACCCACCCTATGCTGGGGGTGGATCAGGGGGCACAGACCCCACAAGTCCAGAAGCCAGTTCCCCGGGCAGCCTATCTCCACCTCATGCCACTATGAGCTCCCCACTTGAAGGCTTTCTGGAGGGGCCCAAGGCAATACCCCCACTGTTGTCCCCTCCCCAGCCTGCACCCACATTGAAGACATACCCACCAGTGCCTGCCTTCTCCCCCGGGCCTGGTATCAAGGAGGAGCCAGTACCACTGACCATCCTGCAGCCCCCCAACCCACAGCCTCTGCCAGGGGCCCTCCCGCCCCAGAGCTTTCCGGCCCCAGCCCCACAGCAGCTCAACCCTGCCCCTGTGTTGGGCTATCCCAGCTCTCTTGGAGGCTTTTCCACAGGTAAGGGGGCCTGTGGGGGGAGGGGGAGAGGGGACAGCAGGAGCACAGGGAGGAGGGTCTGCTGCCCTCTTAGAGGTATTTACCAACTCTAGGAATCGGCTCCTCTCTGCAGCTCTTGTGTGGTGTTGGGTTAATCAGCACTGCCTCCCACTCTTTGGGGTGTCACATCAACGCTGCCCTTCCAGACATACCTGGCTGGAGAGCTAGCGCATCCCATCAGGCCCAGGCAGGGGATGCCAAGATAAGAAACAGGCCATGGGGGGAATGATTCATCCAGGGTCACACAGTGATAGGGACCTGAGGGCAGGTTGAACGTGGGTTAGGGCAGCTTGTACCCACAGCCCCAGACTTCATCTCTGCAGGGACCCCTCCAGGGAGCACCCCACAGCCATTGTCTGGCCCGCCAGGGGTCCCGCCCATCTCCTTGCACACCCAGGTTCAGAGTGCAGCCCCCCAGCAACTGTTGACAGCCACAGCCACCACCTCAGTGGCCCCTGGAACAACCACTGTGACCTCGCAGATACAGCAGGTCCCGGTAAGGAGGTTTGGCCAGGTGTTGAGGAGTTGGCAACTCCTGGCCTAGACACACAGGTCATAGCTGAGACCTGCCTTGTCTCCAGGTCCTGCTGCAGCCCCACTTCATCAAGGCAGACTCACTGCTCCTGACAGCCATGAAAACAGACATGGGAGCCCCTGTGAAGGCAGCGGGTATTGGCTCCCTGGCTCCTGGCACGGCTGTGCAGGCTGGGCCCTTGCAGGTGGGTGGCATGAGCAGGGCAGAAGGGTATTGGGTCTGCACATATGCATGCCTGCCTGGTAACCCATGCCTGGCTCTGCAGACCCTGGTGAGTGGTGGAGCCATCCTGGCGACAGTGCCATTGGTAGTGGATGCTGACAAGCTGCCCATCAATCGGCTGGTGTCCAGTGGCAAGGCTCTGGGTTCGGCCCAAAGCCGTGGAGAGAAGCGCACAGCCCACAATGCCATTGAGAAGCGCTACCGTTCCTCCATCAATGACAAGATCATCGAGCTCAAGGACCTGGTGGTGGGCACTGAGGCGAAGGTGTGAGCACAGGCACAGAGTAGGACCACTCCGGGGAAGGAGGCATCTGGAAGGAGGAGAAGGATTCAGACTGGGCTTGGACAGGGCCTTGGCTTCAGTCTGCTTGGGCCTGGCCAGCTTTACTTATTCAACTAAACTTTATGGAGGCCCCTGTGGCCCAGGGGCTGTTCTGAGCAGGGGGATAAAGAAGGGAGCAGAGAGATAGACAAAATCCCTCCTGTTGAGGAGCTAATGTTCTGGTTGGGGGATGACAGTAAACAAGGTAAGTAACGGTCAGAGGACACCTGATGGCTTTAAGTTCTATGGGAGCAAATAAAGCAGGAAGAGGGAAGGGGAGAGTCGTGAATGTGAATCAGGTGGTCAGGAAAGGCCTTGTAAAATGATAGGACATAAAGCAAAGACTCGAAGGAGGTGCGGGAGTGAGACATGAAGATGGTAATAATAGCAGTTAGATACTGTTGTATGCATTTTACATATTAATCCTCATGCCCATCCTGTGAGGAAGGATGTACTTAGGGGAGGAACATTCTATGTAGAAGAGACAGCAAGTGCAAGGGTACTGAGGCAGCTGTCTCGCAAAGCAGCCTCACTCCCCCTTGCTCAGGTGCCCACTTGCCAGGGCTGACTGGCCACCTGTGCTGTCTCCCTCCTACCCCCTGCAGCTGAATAAATCTGCTGTCTTGCGCAAGGCCATTGACTACATTCGCTTTCTACAACAGAGCAACCAGAAACTCAAGCAGGAGAACTTGAGTCTGCGTACTGCTGCCCACAAAAGCAGTGAGTCCTGGCCTCCTATGGCCCCTCGTTCTGCCCTGCCCCACCCCTGCTCTCACCTTAAGCTCTGACTCTACAAGAGCCCTTAGCTTCTCTTTTATCCTAAATTAGCCCTCAGAAGCTAGGCCAATTCCTAGTCCCCTACCCTAGGGCCCTAAGTTGATTTGGGTGGGGTGACATCTCTTGCCCTAACCCCCAACCCTGCTTTCCTGCCTATAGAATCTCTGAAGGACCTGGTGTCAGCTTGTGGCAGTGGAGGAAACTCCGACGTGCCCATGGAGAGCGTAAAGCCTGAGGTGGTGGACACACTGAGCCCACCACCTTCGGATGCAGGCTCGCCCTCCCAGAGCAGCCCCTTGTCCCTTGGCAGCAGGAGTAGTGGCAGTGGTGGCAGTGGCAGTGACTCGGAGCCCGACAACCCAGTCTTCGAGGACAGCCAGGTCGGGCCCTGCAGTGTGGTCCCTTCCTGTCTCCCAGCGATGTGCTCTGAATCCTAGGACTGGATCAAGAAGAAGCCCCTAACATATCCCACCTCCCATTCTATAGACAGAAAACCTGATGCCTGGAGCCATGTGGGGTCCCGCAGTAAGGGTGGGAAGAGTGCTGACTCCTCCTTCCCCATGCCATGCTCTCTGGACCACCCCTGCTCTGTCCTTACCACCCTGCCCTCCCCCACCAGGTGAAGCCACAACAGCTGCCATCCCCCCACAGTCGGGGCATGCTGGACCGCTCCCGCCTGGCCCTGTGCGCACTCGTCTTCCTCTGTCTGTCCTGCAACCCTTTGGCCTCTCTGCTGGGCAGCTGGGATCTCCCTGGTCCCTCAGATGCCACCAGCATCCACCAGGGTTCTGGGCGCAACATGCTGGGCACTGAGGACAGAGGTAGGACAGGCCAGCATGGATATTGGCAGAGAGGTAGGAGGGGGGACTCTTGGGGGTGTAGACTCTAGGCCTGTGGGCTTGGGCTCTGCATTACTTGGGAGTTATTTTCCCAGCCCTTCTGTCTGCCCCTAGATGGCCCTGGCTGGGCACCAAAGCTGCTAACTCCACTGCTCTGGCTGACGAATGGGCTGCTGGTGCTGGTCTCCTTGGCATTTCTCTTCGTCTATGGAGAGCCTGTCACTCGGCCCCACTCAGGCCCTGCTGTACACTTCTGGAGGCACCGTAAGCAGGCCGACCTGGACCTGGCCAGGGTAAGGGGTGGACCCTGGGGGTGGGGGACAGGGAGAAACCTGACAGCACCCACTCTTCCCTGCTCTCTGGGTGCACCATGAATCTGCCCTGTCCTTTCCACTCTTGTCTCCTACCACTTAGTCTCCCACTGGCCCTGGCAGGCCCAGCTCAACGCTGCTAAGGGACACTGGGGTCATAACAGGGAGCCCAAGTTAGAGGGATCTTCAGAGCTAGAGGGATATCATGTGCTCAGGATGCTCTAACCCTGCTTCACCCAGAAAACCATCATCCGCAGGGGGACTTTGCCCAGGCCGCCCAGCAGCTGTGGCTGGCCCTTCGAGCACTGGGTCGGCCCCTGCCTACCTCCCACCTGGACCTGGCCTGTAGCCTGCTCTGGAACCTCATCCGCCACCTGCTGCAGCGTCTCTGGGTGGGCCGCTGGCTGGCAGGCCAGGCTGGGGGTCTGCAGAGGGACTGCGCTCTGCAGGCAGATGCCCGCACTAGTGCCCGAGAAGCAGCCCTCGTCTACCACAAGCTGCACCAGCTTCACGCCACTGGTATGGTGGGCAAGGAGCTGGCCTGAGGGGTTCCTGCCACCTTTGCACCATACCCCAGCTTCATGCCATCTCCATCTTCCAGGGAAGTACAAAGGTGGGCACCTCACTGCTGCCAACCTGGCACTGAGTGCACTGAACCTGGCAGAATGTGCGGGGGACACTGTGTCTGTGGCTACTCTGGCTGAGATCTACGTGGCTACTGCACTGACAATCAAGACTAGTCTCCCTCGGGCCTTGCATTTTCTGACAGTGAGTGGTGTTGGCTGGTGGGGGTGGGGCTGAGGGCTTGTCTCTGAAGCTCTGACCAGTGGCTCCCTGGGGAGGGGGCTGCACAGGATGAGGTACATGGTCACAGGTGGGCTCTGGGCTGAACTGGGGCTCAGCCAGGGTCTGGATCTGAGCCCCTGCCTGAGCCCCTGACAGTCCACCTCCCCCTCCCCAGCGCTTCTTCCTGAGTAGTGCCCGCCACGCCTGCCTGTCACAGAGTGGCTCAGTGCCCGTTGCTGTGCAGTGGCTCTGCCACCCTGTGGGCCACCGTTTCTTCGTGGATGGGGACTGGGCCCTGTGCAGTCCCCCAAGAGAGAGCCTGTACAGTTCGGCTGGGAACGCAGGTGCGCTCTCACCCCTGTGCCCCTCCACCACCCCATCCTTTGTTCTCTGTTCCCATTTCTCACCCTCACTCTTGCCATCCTTGCCCCCTGCATCTCTACATGTCCCTGGCCACCCTGGTCTGTTGCCTGGCCATCTGTTGTTGCTTTGGGGGCTGGTCTCTCTTCAGAAGCAGATGGAGACAGGGATCTGGGGACAGGTGGTTGATTTGGGAGGTGATCCTGGGCAACACCCCTGTGCAGTGAGAAGGTTGGACAAGGGAGGGACAGAGCTGATAAGGGTGTGTTAACCTACACTGGCAGAAGTAAGTTAGCCTATCTAAGGGCAAGGGCAAGGATATTTATTCACCAACTTTTATCCGTCCCAGAGCCAAGCCCACCTATGTGCCCAGGAAAGAACTCTTGGTGTGGAGAGGGGAATGTGGAGATAGAAAGTTACCCCACTCCCCACTCCTCCCCACAGTGGACCCCTTGGCCCAGGTGACTCAGCTGTTCCGAGAACATCTCTTGGAGCGAGCTCTGAATTGTGTAGCCCAGCCTAGCCCCAATCCTGCATCAGCTGACGGGGACAGGTGAGTGTGCCCATGCCCCCCATGAGGCAAGAGTCCTCCCCTGTGGGGTCTGGGAATGGCTATGTCCAGGGACTTGTGGGGGTGGCCAGAGACAGTTGGCTGTCCACTCACCATGTGACCTCAGGTAGAGCTCGCTCCTCTCTGGGTCTGTTTCCTCACCAGCCTGGCAGGAGGAGATAGTGCCACTTTGTGAAGCTAGGAAGGCAGGCTATGCTCTGGTGGGAAGGTGAGAAGGGCCAGTGCCCTCCCGGGACTCCCAGGAACCCTGCCACCTGTCCTAACAGTCAGTCTCCTGCCACAGAGAATTCTCGGATGCCCTCGGGTACCTCCAGCTGCTGAGCAGCTGTTCTGATGCTGCCGGGGCCCCAGCCTGCAACTTCTCCGTCAGTTCCAGCATGGCCACCACCACCGGTGAGCCTCAGGCCCCTACCCTGCGACTGCCCGCTCAGCCCCTGCTCCAGAGCAGCGCAGCCTCAGGTGCAGTGTGGCTGTTGAGGGAGCGCTCCCATCTGCACCCCTGCTCCCTGCAGGCACAGACCCGGTGGCCAAGTGGTGGGCCTCGCTGATGGCTGTGGTGATGCACTGGCTGCGGCGGGATGAAGAGGCGGCTGAGCGGCTGTATCCACTGGTGGAGCACCTGCCCCGGGCCCTGCAGAAGTCAGAGTGAGTGCAGGCCAGGTCTCCCAGAACCTGCCTTCCCCTCGTTCTGTACGGGTGGGATCGCCACCCTTTCTGTCATGAAGCTGGAACAGGGCAGTGGAGAGTTCAGTGAGGGCCTGTGGCTTGGTCTGACCATCGCTCCTCTGCCCTGGCCCCAACAGGAGACCTTTGCCCAGGGCAGCTCTGCACTCCTTCAAGGCTGCCCGGGCCCTGCTGGGCCGCGGGAAGACAGAGTCTGGCCCGGCCAGCCTGGCCATCTGTGAGAAGGCCAGTGGGTACCTGCAGGACAGCCTGGCTACCACTGCAGCTGGCAGCTCTATTGACAAGGTGAGGGGTGGAGCCAGGGGCCTGGTAGGTCCGCGGGGTCATGGCCTTTTCACTCCCTGGTTGTTCCCTGCCTGGGCTGCAGAAGACTATGGGGGTTAGCCTAACAGCACAGGACTGGACGCCCAGCTGGCTTTGCTTTTTGGCTAAGGCTTGGGCCCAGAGGAGAGTGGTTACCCATTTAGCCTCAGGTTCCCCTCCCCCCTGGGGAGGGGTGGTATGGCAGGGCCCTCCTTGGAGGCTGCTCCCATGGCAGGTGGTGGGGTGGGGGCCTGGAGAGGCGGGCGGCCCCGAGGTGCATTGCTGTTGCATTGCATGTGTGCGAGGTGGGTGCAGTGCCTCGGCAGTGCAGCCCGGAGCCGGCCCCTGGCACCGAAGGCCCTAACCCTTCCCCTCCCAGAGCTGGAGCCCTCCCATGACCCCTGCCCTGCCCACCACCCCCAGGCCATGCAGTTGCTCCTATGTGACCTGCTCCTTGTGGCACGCACTAGCCTGTGGCTAAGGCAGCAGCCGACTGCACCAGCCCAGGCCTCACAGGGCCCTGGCAATGGAGCCCAGGCCTCTGCCCTCGAGCTGCGTGGCTTCCAGAGGGATCTTAGTGGCCTGAGGCGACTGGCGCAGAGTTTCCAGCCTGCCATGCGGAGGGTGAGTGTCCACGGGCCCCTCACCTCACAGTGGGGATGTGAGCAGCTGGTGTGCGGAGAGAGTGGGTGCCTGGCCTCAACCCTGACTCGCCTGGCCCCCTCCTGCCCAGGTGTTCCTACATGAGGCCACAGCCCGGCTGATGGCAGGGGCCAGCCCCACTCGGACACAGCAGCTCCTGGACCGCAGTCTGAGGAAAAGGGCAGGCTCCAGTGGCAAAGGAGGTAAGAGCACGACCCTTGTAGGGGAAGGTGGGGCACTGATCCAGCCTCATCCTCTCCACCCAGGTGTGGGGCAGCCCAGATAGATAGGCTGTGACTGTCAGAGACAGAGGGGGTACTTTGCGGTAGTTATCTGAGAAATCCAGTGAGGCGACTTTCACTTGTGGGATGTGCGACGGTGCGCGTGTGTCTCTGAGTCTGTTCCATGCCCGGCCCTGAGAGGGGAGAGGCTCCAAGAGCGTGCCTGAGACCGAGGGGGTGAGGGGGGTGCTCCTGATGCGTGGTGTGTGTGTGTGCAGGTGCAGCAGAGCTGGAGCCGCGCCCCACGCGGCGGGAGCACGCCGAGGCCCTGCTGCTGGCCTCCTGCTGCCTGCCGCCCTGCTTCCTGTCGGTGCCCGGGCAGCGAGTGGGCATGCTGGCCGAGGCCGAGCGCATGCTGGAGAAGCTCGGTGACCGTCGGCTGCTGCACGACTGCCAGCAGATGCTCATGCGCCTGGGCGGCGGGACCACAGTCACCTCCAGCTAGACCCCCGCCGTTGGTCCAGCCCCAGTGCCCAGTTTCACCGCCTTGGCGCCCTTTGGCTGTGTCACCGGCGGGAGCCTCAAATGCCAAAGGCAACGCCAGAGACCAGTGTCCACGATTCAAGCAGGGACTGCACTGTATCGGCGGGGGGGAGGGGGCCAAATGGGAGATCCTCGGGGGCTTTTGCCTCTTGACCTGGGAGGCCCGCGGGGGCGCCATCCCGCCGCCTCCGCCTGCACCCCGACTCCACCAGCCGAGTTGAAGCCAGGATGGTACTGACCTCTGGTGGCAGATCGGGGGATTGCAGGAGCCTGCCCCATGTGTCACCTCTGCTCCCCAGGCGCCAGGTGCCTCTTCCGGGAAGGTAGGGAGTGCACGCCACTCAGCGGAGGGGGCAACGCGGCTGTCCTGGCCAGCAAGGGGGCCCTGCGCCGGGCCCCTCTTTCCCTTCCGGAGAGAGCTTGTAGATCAGGGCGCATCAGCCTCCTGGTCTCTGAGGCTCAAGTGTTACTTCGACGTTTGCAAACTTTATTTTCATAGGTTGAGAAGTTTTGTACAGAGAATAAATAATGAAATTATTTATAATCTGGGTTTGGTTTCTTTGGGGAGGGTGTGTGCTTCAGCTGATGTACTTGCCAACCAAAGGCGGTTCTTTGGGTCTTCCCCCCCAGCACCCAGGCAAAGGCTTCCCAGCACTCGGGCAAAGGCTTCCCTACACCCATCTGCCATAAGGGACTAGATTTCCCCCTTCTGATACTATGGGAGGCCCGGGGAGGAGGGGTTATGACCTCCCACTGATCTTTGGGCCGGCCCCTAATCCTTAGGGGCCATTAGGATCTCAGCTGTCTTCTCACCTCTCAGCTTCTACCCCACCTACTCCAAGGGTGACATGGAGGACATTCAGTGTCCTTAAGGATCTGTTGACAAGAGCTACAACCTGGTATCCCTGTATGTCTGGGATATCGGTCTCACTTTTCCCACCCCGTCCCCTAGTCATCTGTCTCATACCTGAGGAAGCCTTCCATCCCCCATTCTGACCTGAGGTTGCATGGGGGTGGGTGTTGATTTTGCAGCAGGGACTTGTTTCCTGTTCCTGCAGAAACAGCCAGAATCCCTGACTCTCCATTTGTGCTCCTGAGCTTTCCCCTCCATTTCTACCCCACACCCGGCCCCTTTTCCCAGCGGAATCTGGTCAGAACCCACGGGCTGCAGACTTCCAAAACAATCGTATCTTTATTGACTTTTTTCTGAATGCAATGACTGTTTTTTACTCTTAAGGAAAATAAACATCTTTTAGAAACAGCTCGATACACACAATCTTCAGTGTGAAGCAATATACTAATAAGAACACTAGTCTTAACATTTACAGTCTTCATATATATTATATATATGTATATGTATACATATATATACACTATATAACGAGGCCAGATATAATACACACGTTTACCATTTTACAGTCATATGTACAGGAAGTTGCTAGGGTGCCCCGGTCCAGGGGCTGCCTCAGGCCTATCAAAGCATGAACAGAGCTGAGGGCGAAAATGAGAGCGGAGGGCCTGGCCTGGGCTGGTGGTGGCTGCGTGGGAAGGGCGTCCTGGCTGTGGTCCCCTTCCCGGCAAGGGCCCTGTGCTGAGGAGCACACGACGGCAGCAACACGGGAGAAGCGAGCATGTTCCCAACATATATACATTCTATGCGACATATATATAGTGGGTATACGGATTTGTACACAGATCAGCACTGTCTCTGCTCCTGAGCGGAGTAGCTGCTGCAGTCCCTGGAGAAAGGCGGCCGTGCAGAGGGACAATCACAGGTCTGCTGGAGCTGGTCTCTGGTGGAGACTCCGCCGCGCTCTGAGGCTGGCTCCAGGGGTGGGGTGGAGAATTGAAAATGGGAAGAACAGAAGCAAAAGGGGTGCCCCCCAGTCCAGCTTATAGCCGGGGAACCTGCATCCCCTCAGCATGGCCCCAGACTCCCCTGGCTCTGCCCAAACTGCATGAAGGTTTTGGCAAATGTTGGGTGGGAAGGGCACTCCGGCACGTTCGGAATGGTTTGTTCCAAAGCCTCTGGCCCATTCCTCTCCAGAAAGCCTTAGGCTCCATCCCCCCA